GTCTTTGACCTCCAGTGGCTATAAAACTCATGAAAATCAGCCCCTCTCCTTTTTCTGGTCAATGGCTTTGGGGAAATGTTTTCCTTCCGTGAATCCCTATATGTTTCTCTCTCTCTCTCTCTCTCACTCTCTCCTCTGTCTGAGACCAGGGCTCCCTCCCCTCCCCAGCACCTATGATCTGTATCTCCCCCAAACACAACTCCACACCTCACCTCCTACCTTCCAAGATGTAGTCTCTTCTCCCCCTTTAGTTGTGCAATTTGTCCTCTCAGTCCTCAGATTGACTTCTTGAGTATTCAGAATAATTTGATATTTATCTAGTTGTGTTCAAGGGATGAGGCAAACCTGTGGTGCTCTTACTATTCTGCCATCTTAGCTCTTCTTCTCTGACCATCTTCTTCCTTTTTCTTTTCTTCTCTTTATCTTCCATGTAGTGAGAACCCCTTGGATCTATCTCTTGGCAAATTTCATGATAAAACTTTTCTGTCTTCTTCCATACAGGTTTCATCCTCAGCTTTGCTTCTCTTGTGTTGAAAAATGGATTTTAATTGTTTCAAGGTTTATATCCCAATGTTATCATCCAAGACAAGAAAGAGGATCTCTTTCCCTTGCCATCAACTAAAAGAATCAGGCTTCTAGTGACCTGGTCACCTAGAGTCAGTCATGGCTCTGAACCATCATTCTAAATGAGGACAAGTGGCATCTTTATGATGATTGACCTGAACTGATTGTGTCCCGTCCATGCTTCAGCCTGTAACATGGTCTAGGATGCTTTCTCCTGATGGCCTTAGGCTGATCAGAGCCCAAGCCTATGCATGAGATGCATGAGGGTAGGGTCAACTAACAAAAAACCACATGCTGGCCATTTGAGAATGACAAGGTAGACAAGAACATAGACAAGAAACAATTAGCCTAATTCAAATGAGAAGACAGAAGTCCTGTGATTTGCTCTTCTCCATCCTATATTTTTCACCTTTCCCACATCTCCTATCTCAACTTCATTTTCCAGAAGGTCCACATGTACCATGGTGGATTCCTGCACTTCATCCCTCTGGATGTTGTCCTGCCCTGGGCTCCCTCTTTCAGCCCCTAAACAAATTAGAACTTTTGCCTTTCCCAATGTTGGACTGAAATAAGTTGCTACACTAAGAAAGTAGATAGAAACAGCAATGAAAACAGTAATCAAATGAGGAAAGCAAAATTTTTAAGCTCCAAATACAGTGATGGTCTTTCTTCCCCTGCTACTTTCCACTCAAAATGTCTCTTCTGCATGATCGGAGCTTGAGAATGATTTGTGGAGGTAATTAAAACACTAGAGTAACTGAAATCTAACCATGGACATCTCCACTAGCACTGCCATTGAAACATAATCAGTCACAAAGGTCCATCTTCAATATCTACAGACTGTCTATGCTAATGGACCCACCTAATGACATTGATTTGTAACCCCCAGACCCACCAGTTCACTGCTATTCATAATGAATGGCAGGCAGAGTGCTCTGACATGTGTCACCCATTGCATGTGTCCTGGTGAGGCTGAACCAGTTGCTGCTCTGCATTTCCATGGTAATTCCCACACTGTAAACATGTGTCCTTTTCATCGTCTATTTGGTGCCACATTTTCTGCATTTACATGCACTTTCTTGGTGATTTCGGTGTTTCAAAAGGCCCTGAAGCCCAGACATGTGAGGTTGACTCATGTTCAAGAGGGTGTGATGTGTCTCCCAGATAAAACACTTGTGCAAGTAGGTCTCTCTCAGGCTCAAGATGCAGAACTGTGGGCCTTGAGTTCAGTGGTACTGAATCAACAATGTACAAATCCAGGAAAAGTAAAAGGTCTATGTGGAGCCACCTCAGAACGTTCTAAAGTAACATCTAGGGCACTATAATTATGTTACAGAAAAGGAAGGAAAAGAGCTAAATATGTGGGTTCATGAAATGACAACCATATCTTCTTTGTTTCTAGACGTACCATGGGCAGCACAGCTGTGGGAATGAAAGTCAAAGACACTGGAGATCACAGTAACCAAACCTGGAAATTTTATATATTTCTGAGGTGGTATTTCAATATAGGGAAATACAACATACGGTAAATTACTGGGATATACATGTGTATATATAAGATGTCTTAAAAACACACATGAAATAAGGCTGTGTATTCATCAGATGGCAACTGTTCTGAGCAGAGGCTCCAAAAACTGAACCCCGTATTTCCCCCAGGGGCAGGTATTCTTCTGTTTTCAAGATCATCTCGTTACCCTCCAAGGAGACACTTGCACTGCTACCTCTCAGGCACCACATTTATGCACCTGTGAATCCCTGCTGGTTTGCTAAAATGCACATTGTGATTCAGTGAACCTCAGCTGAGGCCAAGACCCTATATTGCCAACAAGCCCCAAGGTGATGTCTCTGCTGCTGTCCTGAGGGCCTCAAACAGCCAGGACCTGCATCTGCCCTCCTCCTTTTATCCACAACAGGTCCACTCCAATAGGTGTCTGTGTTTAAATAATAGAAATATCCCCAGACAAAACTATATTCTCCTCAGAGGCTCAGAGATGTTACCAAGGAACCATAACAGTATCAAGTCTCCAGGCAAAGTGAAAAGACTTTTGACAAGAAGAACATCAAACGTCTCAACTACTACAAACACCACAGGAGGCGAAAGAAGAAAAAACTATGAAATTGGCATCAATTCAACACAGACTTTTATTAGGGACATATTCCATGCAGGCGAGACTCCTTGCCAAGGATACAAATATTAAAAAGATGTGGGCTTTGCACTCAAGAGACCTAGGAATTAGAAGGGAAAAATTAGAAGGAATTAGAAGGGAATTAGACCTAAATGCAGGGCAAAAACGGATAGGAACTGGGTGTAGATTATCCACAGTGCAGGTTAAAGTGGTGGAAATTCCCACCAAGCAGAG